TTGTAGAGCTGGTCCTACTCCTTAATAGTCTATAGTCTTGGTTCATCATGCCTGTGAAAATAATAGATGGCCGATGAGAAAGCGAGCAAGAATACAGCATGTTTCAATCAGTGTAATTAACATATAGGTGAACCGATTTCTGTTAACTTAATTATTATCTCTTCTTTATTCTGTAAATGTAAAGTTGAATTCATGGTGCTTCCAGACAATACCTATAATTTAGAGAGAAAGGGTTAAAAAGGCGGTTGGCCAGATGACATTTGTGCACAATGCACGCTTGTTCGCATCAACGGAGGGAAACCCCGATTCAAAAAGTTCCTCTTTTATCCCGATTCTGGGCAAAAAACCCAAATTTTCCCATGACTGTGTGGTCTTGCAGTCATGTAAAGTTCAGGATTTCCCTCTTTACCCCCTGTGGACTGCTTCCCGCCTGTGCTGGTTTTTAAAAGCCCGAAAAAGCTGATCAGCTATTCAGGCTCCCATGCAGACACATCTCATTTCTAGCTTGTTCCAAGAGAGAAGTAGAGAGGCATTAGAGCTCTCGGGAAGTGTTTATTTTAAAATTTTTAATATTGAATAGATTGTGCATAAGCATCTGGGGAAAGAGGGAAATCCGGTTGCAATTAAAAAAAAATCCCCGCCATTATGTACTGGTGCTTATATATACACATAGCAATCTCTCCATATTTGTATTAAAGTATTTGCATCAGCACATAATTGGGTGATTTTTTTTTAAAAAAAAAATCTTCCAGCAGATGTCCCTTGTTTGTTCTCAATTTTATCTTAAGACACCGAAGGGTTGTGATGACGGTGGGGTAAGAAAGCCCAGGACTGGCAGGTCTGTGTGGGGCCCTGCTCTGAGGTCCCAGGTTTGTTTATCCTGCATATTAATCCCATGTGTTGGTGCTGTCTGGAAGCACCCTCAGTGAGTAGAGTCAAATTGTGTAGTAGCATGTAATTGAGTAGTGGCATCAAAACATACATGTTTTAAGAATCTTACCAACAAAAACTCCAGTTTTGGAGCCGTTAATATTTTCTCTAGTGACCCCTGCATCTTCCAATGCTCTATAAGTGCATTCCAGGAGTAACTTTTGCTGTGGATCCATACACTCCGCTTCCACCTCATTAATTCCAAAAAGTCTGTTGTCGAATGCGTTAAACCTAAAAAACAGAATTCCGAATGATGACGCTACCAAAACATTTCTTTATAAAGCTACTAAAGAAATGTGTAGTAGTGATTTAAGATAACATACAGAAAGAGGGAGGAAAAAAAAAAACAATTTCTGTTGGAAGTGGGATTAGGACAGTGGAGACAAATACATAATACATAGCAAATACATAACAAAGCACACACATATATGTCTAAATTCGAAATACTGTGAGTAGAATTATTTATGGTCCACCTTGGCATAATAAAAATAAATGTATGTATCTATGTATGTATGTATGTATGTATGTATGTATGCATGTGGGTGATTTTCTATTGGCTCCCACTTCCAGAGAGTCCTGTGACCCTCACCAACAATGGATCTGGACCAAGCCTGGCACACAGACCCCCCATGACCAACGGAACACACTGGAGGGATTTAGAGGGGAATTGACCCTGGATTTCGTGATTTATAGATCAATTTGGAAGGAATTGATCTTGAATTTCAGTCCCATCCAA